CCAGAAGAAAAAATATTATCAGACATACTGTGAAAATGTCCTTGCTCTGTTAACCATCGTTTGGGAAATAATTAAAAAAGAACAAAAATTCAAAGGGGGGCTAATAATTCTGACTTCAACTGTTAGAGCTCATATTTCAGACCTTATTTCAGACCAAATTTACTCACTATTTATTCATGCCTATTCAAACCTTTATGATTTTTTTCCTGTACTGGACACAAAATAAGATAATTTGAAGAAACTGCAGTAACCATTGACTTCCATAAAATAAATACTATAAAAAGGCTATGGTTGCCGATTTTCAACATGTTTCAAAATATCTTCTTTTGTGTTCATTAAAAATAAGAAAGTCAAGGATGAGTAAATATTGAGAATTTTGGATAGACTGTCCCTTTAAACTGTACTTTACACAATATCTAGCTTGCCACTGTGAAACGCTGAAAAACTAATGTCATTTCAAAGCATTTAACTATTTTATTTGTCAAAAAAAAGCAAAATAAAACACTAAATTAACAGTAAAAATCTAAAAAGCATAAATATAAAATCTGCTCCATTAATCTGTCTATAAACTTTTTTTCATTTTAAAGTAGTTTAAATTTTTTTTTTATCTTTTTGTTATTTTTAATCTGTAAAAAAAAAAATATATATATATATATAAATCACATGTTTTTATTCAAGTAATTTTGTGTACTGAATTGTATGTATAAATTACATATATCGGTAACACTTTACAATAAAGTTGTCTTAGTTAGTGTTAGTTAATATATTTACTAAAGCAAACAAACAATGAACAATATTGAATACATTGTAAAAAAATATACGATCAATTAGTCATGATAACATATGTTTTTAGTTCATTCTAACTTCTAAAATCAAGTTAGAACAGGATTAACATAGTTCAATAAGTTACACAAGCTGTTTTAAGTCAGTTTAACATAATTTAAGTTCAATGGACTCATAAGGTTAATTTGATTCAGCTTAACAATTTAAGGTAATCAGGATAATTTTTAAAGTGTACAGTATTTATTCATCTTCGTTAACGTCAGTTAATGAAAATAAATTTGTTATTACTTGTTAACTAGCAAAAGATTCAAAGTAGGTCGGCACACTGCCACTTTAGCTCTCAAAAAATTTTATTAGTCATAATTACAAAAACACTACGTTTCGACCGACATGGTCTTCATCATTACTTGTTAACTCACAGTGCTTAACTACGATTAATAAATTCTGTACAGGTTTTTATATATGCTGTACATGTTTACTCATTATTAATTCATTTTAGTATAAATTAACTAATGAAACCTTATTGTAAAGTGTGAAATCTATATTGCTTAATACTACGCAGTGTAGAGGAAAGTTACTTTTGAAAGTATTGCATTAGGCTATAATATTGAGTTACTCCCCAAAAGAGTAACTAGTTGTGTTACTTATTGTTACATTTTAGGGTAAGTAATGCGTTGTTACTTTTAAGTTATTTTCCCTCCCTGACTGAGGCTTGAGGTTTTTTTCTTTCTCTGCAATTACTAATGCACTGTATAACCTTAATTTACCTTTACAAAATACATAAAAAGTAAGATATTACCTTCTGAGAACTTCCTGAGACCAGAGCTAAACATACCGTAGATACAAAAAGTTTAAAGCAATGCGTTTGCCACTTTTGCACTTATGTCCTATTAGTTAAGTAAAATCACTGTCCGTTGAGACTCCCCCTTTCCTTTTTGTCGATGCGTTCAAATAATGTGATTCCATGTTCATTTTTATTCAGCAAACTATTTTTAAAAGATTATTAATTAAAATTACTTGCATTACATCAAATAAGCAATTCGTTACTTTACTCGTTACTTAGAAAAGTAATATTATTACGTCTAACTCACTTTACTTGTAATAAGTTACCCCCAACACTGATACACAAGCACAATAGTGACATTTTAAGAACTTATTAAGTAGACAAAGCAACTACTGGGTTAAAAGGCATAATTTAAATTTAATTGCAACTTTAATGATTAGTCTATATACACTTTAAAATAATTTATTTTAATTAACACGTCCTATATTTTGTGATTCACAAGTGTTTTCGGTTTGTTTACACAGTTTAGTTGCATTATTGCACTTTTATACTCTGTCGTCTTTTGATGTTGAAAATTCTCTACAGATTAACAAAGTGACTTTTATTAACATAGTAGTTTAAAATAATATAATGTATTGAGATAATAATTAAATTAATAAGTCGCTGGCAGTTTATTAAAAGGTTTTTTGTAGAATACTGCCTACAACACCAAACCAGACAATTTATCACTTTAAACTAAAAATGTTCATAAAGGTCACTTTGTCAAGGGTAAAGGTGTTTGGAAGAAAGTTCACGCTCCCATATTTCAATTCAAAAGCAGAAATAAACAAATACAAAATAAAAATATAAATCACAAAATACGGAAAACTGCAAATTTACTGATATTTTTTAAAAATGAAGGGGACAAAAATATGCGTTTAAGCTTCTAATGTAAGCTATTATAAATGATCACTACTCATTGTAATAAGTTGATTCAAAAGCAGAGCACAGAAGAGTAAATTGTGCGGGAGAATAAAATAAAATAAAATAAAAAGTAACTTGCATTACTTTCTTTTTAAGTAACTCAATAACAAGTGCTGCATTACTTTATCGTCACGAAAAGTAATATAATTATGTCTAATTCACTTTACTTGCTGTGCGCTATATCCGCTACACTGATACACAGGCTATAAACCAACTAGACAAACCAATCATTGGGTTAAAATGAATTTAAATTTAAGTACATTATTTAATTACATTAAATTACATTTATTATAGACTTAAAAAATAGTCTATATACTGTACACTTTAGAAATATATACTGTATTTTAATTAACACTTCCCGTATATTGTGATTCACAAGTGCTTTCTGTTTATTTCATTATGGCACTTTTTAGCTCTGTCTTCTTTTGATGTTAAAATTTAAACCCTACAGTTTAACAAAGTGACTTTTATTGACATTTTAGTAGCTTATAATAATATAATGTAAAAGAAATAATATATAGAAAAATGTGCAATGTACTGACAGTTTATTGAAAGGTTTTGCAGCGTAATATAGAACACTAACCCAGACATTATATTACTTTAAACGATTTAAAAGTATTAATAAAACTCACTTCTTCAAACTTTTCAAAACTTTTGCTCCCCTATTTTAATTCAACATCAGAAATAAACAAATTTAAAAAAAAAAACTTAAAACATGCATCACAAAATACGGAAAACAGCTAATTTATTTACGGATTATGTTTAGTTTAGGGAAAAAATATGTGTCCAAACCTACAGTATAATGTAAGCTACTATAAATGATCTCTACCCACTGTAATAAGTTGATTCGAGAGCCGAGCACAGAAGAGTAAGTTGTGCTGGAGAATAAAACAAAATAAAAAGTAACTCAAATAAGTAATAACAAGTGATGCGTTACTTTATTTGTTACTTAGAAAGTATCATTATTGTGTTATTCGAGCTACTGATACACAATATAAAAAGTCATTTTAAGGACTTTAACTGGACAAACCAACCATTGGCTTAAAAGGAATTTCAATTTAATTACATTTATTATAGATTTTAATAATTATCATTTAAAAAATATACATATTTAATTAACACAGTATTTTGTGATACACAAGAGTTTTCTGTTTATTCAAGTTCAATTGCATTATGGCACTTTTATACTCTGTCGTCTTTTGATGTTAAAATTTCAAATTCTAAATACTCTAAAACTCTAAAGGGAAAACTAGGCTACTAATAGCTAATATAATACTTATAATGTGAGCTACTAAATAAAATAAATAATCACTACCCATTGTAATAAGTTAAGTCAAGCACAGAAATGCAAGTTGCGCGGGAGATCTGATGATGACAGAGAGAGGAAGAGAAGAACAGCGGTGAATCTAACACTTGTTCATGAGCTCGAGGGAAACTCTTTCCAAGAAACAACAGCATTTTGCCCACGGGTTACGTGGGTGTTATCGAGTGGGAATGTGTGGAATAAAAGCTCACACAGACCCCACGAGAGTTCACTGCACCGCGGACAGAGAGGACTGACTTTAACTGGACTTGTTCTTGCCTCAGCGTTGGGTTTGACGTGCATCACAGAGCAGATACAGCGAAGGTAAGACATGCAGAACTCTTGGAGAAACTACGAAACTATAATAGAAAGTTCATTTAAGCACTGCTAATAGGCATTTAAAATACATATTTAGAAGTATTTATTTATTATAATTAAATAAAAATACAATAAATAATAATAATAATAATAATGATATTAACGGTCATAAATAAAATAAAGACTATTATTTTAGCTTATTAATAATATTAATACAAAAATACAAGATAAAAAAGGGTAATAATAATAATAAAATATATATTTAACAATAAATATTGAGATAAACCTATATAGGGCTATTTATTTTTGGTGAAATAAATCTGTCCCGCACTGTATTTCACTCAATCTTTCGCTGTTCATATTATTTGGGAGTTTTTTTTTGTACTTTATTAAGTAGCCTATATATTTTATTAAAATGTTTACTATCTTCATATTTTGTTAATCTTATGAAATGTTTTTTAATAATTCATATAAATTAAATAGCTATATCATGTTATTTACTTTAAAAACAATAATTTTAATCGATATCCAAATATAAACGCAAAATAAGTTGATCTATCTATCTCTCTATCTATCTATCTATCTATCTGTCTATCTATCTATCTATCTATCTATCTATCTATCTATCTATCTATCTATCTATCTATCTATCTGTCTGTCTGTCTGTCTGTCTGTCTGTCTGTCTGTCTGTCTGTCTGTCTGTCTGTCTGTCTGTCTGTCTGTCCGTCCATCTGCTCAGTTGTTTGTTCATCCATGTCTATATCTATCTATCTATCTATCTATCTATCTATCTATCTATCTATCTATCTATCTATCTATCTATCTATCTGTCTGTCTGTCTGTCTGTCTGTCTGTCTGTCTGTCTGTCTGTCTGTCTGTCTGTCTGTCCGTCCGTCCGTCCGTCCGTCCGTCCGTCCGTCCTTTTGTCAGCATTTTATACAGCTAATTAGGTTTACTAATTATTACATTTCATGATTATATATACATAAATAATTCAGCTGTACTTTTTTTTACCGTTTATCAATAACATTTATAGATACAGCTAATAACTGTAATTTTACTATGACAATTATTGTTGTAATTAATTATTAATATTAATTATTTTAAACATAGATTTCCTGTTAAATTAAAGAGATCATCAGTTCTCAATTATTTAGGCTACTCAACCTCAAGATTTCCCAACCTGTATCAATTTCTTTTTCTCCTAAACACAAAATATAATAGTTTGAAGAATATCAGGAACTAAGCGGTTTCTGGTCCATATTGACTTCCACAGTATTTCTTTTATATAGCCTACTATGCAAGTCACTATTGACCAACTGTTTGCTTATATTAATTTTATTAAATATATATCCATTTGTGTTAAGCAAAAATGAAAAATCCCTTTAATATGACTACACTAATTAATTAAGATATTAGTTTGCTTATACATGTTCTGTATCTAAAGTAAGTATAAATTAAACAGCTGTGAATTTAATTTAATGTATTTCCTTCTCCAGATGTGTCAGCTGACAAGAGTCATCCTTCTCCTCTGTTTGTCCATAGTGAGACTGTCTGCGCTTAACTTTTTCCCAGGGAAATGTAAGGGCACTGACCACAACATTATACGCACACACACAGTTTTTAATAATGGGGATCTCCCTACTTCTGTTTCTCTACACAGAAAAAATGTTGACTGGTATTACAAAAGTACTTCTATTTATAAACACAATATCACACGCGAGTTACGAGTGCGATACTCCGTTTATAAATGGAAGCACTTTTGCACAGCTCGATGGCAGAAGTGTGTAAATAAACAGCAACCACAGAGTCTTAAAACACGTTTAACTGCGGAAATACTTCATTCTGCCACAGATTCGGGTCATTTATTTGTAAAGTGATTAATACGTTTGGTCCTGTTGATAGTAAACTGGTTCCAGAAAACAGTTCTCAGCCAATCAGATTTAGGAAACAGAACATGGCAGCTATACAAAAAAATACTATTAGAAAATGCTCAGTTTCTCTGCAATTATTAGGTATAGGTGGGCGGCACGGTGGCTCAGGGGTTAGCACTGTCGCCTTACAGCAAGGTCACTAGTTTGAATCCCGGCTGGGTCATTTGGCATGTCTGTGTGGAGTTTGTATGCTCACCTATGTGGGTGCTCCAGTTTCTTCCAAAGACATGCAGTATAGGTAAACTGGGTAAGCTAAATTGACCGTAGTGTCTGTGAATGAGTGTGTTTGGGTGTTTTCCAGTACTGGGTTGCGCATCCGCTGCCTAAAGCATATGTTAGAATAGTTGGCGGTTCAATTTTCAAATATAACAATAATAATAATAATAATAATAATAATAATAATAATAATAATGTTTTCATTTGTTGTGATCTTGATTTCTGAACCCTTGCAGTAGTTAAAATGTTGTTATTGTGTTGTCTAAACATTAATATAAACATTATGCAATTGTAATGTGTTTGAGTAATTTTTTAAATGAGATTTTTATTTTGCTCTGTGAACTACTGATAACATTTCAACTAAATATAAAATAAAATTGCTATCATTTAGAGCCACAATATCAATATCAATAGTTGCAACATAGGCTCATTCTGAAAACGTACCCCTATATATGTTTCTGGAGCTTGCAAATTATGTAGCCAAAGGTACGTATGGCTGCATTTCATCTTTAAAATGAACACTACCAGCTGACCGATTAGCTCCATGTGGACGGCTTTTCCACTGGTACCAGTTTGTCAAGTGGCTCGTTGCATACGTCGGAAGATTTGAGACACAGAGAGGAGTTGACTGCGACAATTGGGTTTGAGTCGGGTGAAGAACGGTTCCAGAAAGTGGGTAAAACAAAAACAGAAGCCAAAATATAAAATAAAAGAGCAATTAACAAGGTGAGAATGTGATAAATATGAAATCTTAGTAAAAATCAGACGAGGGCTTTTTATTTTCTGGATTGCTTTACAAAACACTGTGGGTTTTGGGAAAGTGGGTGGATGGGGGGTTGGATTGGTCAGTCGGTCGGTCAGTCAGTCAGTCAGTCGACAGCTGCCTCTGGTGGACACGAGAAGAGCACACACTCGCTAGAGCGCTTTGCGATCTCAAAAAGTGTACACAGCGGCCTCTGGTGGATTTACGAAAACAAAAATTGCAAATAAACGTAGCTCCTGGGACGTATTTGGTGCTCTCCAGAACTGTACATAGGGCTACGTTTTCAGAATGAGCCTGAATATTTTAATTTCTGATCAATTGAGCTTTTATTAAAATGTTAATATTTAATTGAAAGACATTTTATCCCACGTTATTAAAGAAATAATACATTTGACTTATTTTAACCAACTAAAACCAAGCCGCCTTGATGTCAAAACAACATTAAATTGACATTGACGTCAAAAATGCTATCTGATTTGATGTCAAAATCTTGACGTCCATTTGACATCCACACACTGATGCTGTTTTGACCACCAAAATAATGACATTAAAAGTATAACAATAACATTAGAAAGGTTTTATTATCCTGAAAGCTTTAATTACAAATGAACACTGGATTTTGCATCCCTAAAATGCATGCAAATATCAAAAGGACATCAAATTGACATCTAACATTGACGACAATAAAAAAACGTGAATATACTTTCAATTGGAGTCAATTTTTGATGTTTTTTGACACCAATGTTAGATGATGTCAAGAGTCAATTGACATCAAATCCATTAGCATTTTTGACATGTTTTGACATCCAGTGATATCTAGAGAAACTTTCATGTGGCCATTGTTTCTCTTTGTGCAGTTAAAGTTGGCGAGAGAGGCACAGACGTGATCTTGACCTGTCACACAAGTGAACATGAAATCACGTGGAAGCATCAGGACGCACACAGTATATCGAAAATCTCAGGATCAGAGTTTGAAAAAATCAGCGGTCGAACTCTGACCCTGATGGACCTGGACGAGGACCAGATCGGCAACTACACCTGCTGGAGCCAACAGGGTCTGGAGGACTACACCTATCTCCTGCTGGATAAGACCAAAGAAACTACAGGTTAGAACACTCAGGGTTCACACTCTACGCCGAATGTCATGTCAATCTGAATTTCCATGACCTACACTGTAAAAACATCTGTTCATTAACAGTGATTTTCTATTTATTTACAGTTGTAAATTGCATTATGGGATGTTGATATCTGCTCTGTTGAATTTGGATGTTGAAAATTTAACTCTACTGTTTAACAAAGTGACTTTTATTGGCATTTTAGTAGTTTGATAATAATATAATGTATAAGAAATAATGTATAGAGAAACAAAATAACCGAAAATTATTTTAAAATAACCGAAAATGTGCTGGCAGTTTATTACAAGATTTTTGTAGCGTAATATACAACACCAAGCCAAACAGTATATCACTTTAATTTATTAAACATGTTCATAAATATTATATATATAATTTTTCAATACTTTTTAATGTTAAAAGTTGTTATAAGAAAGACAGAGGTATCATAATGCAATAACTGCAATTCAAAAGCATAAATAAATGGGGAAATAGAAAACAGAATAGAAAAACAGGCAGCTGTTATGTTAAACAGTCCCTCAAAAAAAAGCCATTCTGTGATGCTGACATTAGCTTGATTTTGTTTTAAAATTTCTATAGATATAGGACATTGCATTGCATGCATTGTTTCATATCAAATTATTTATAATCACTCTGTTGAGCGATACACATGGTACATCACTGCGCTTCTTCTTAGGTATGCAACCCAGGCTCATCCGGATTACGTACCCCTTTATAAATTTCTGGAGAGTGCAAAATACGTCCCAGGAGCTTCGTTTTTTTTGCAGTTTTTGCGAATTCACCAGAGGCTGCAGTGGACGCTTTCTGGCGTCTCACGGGTGCTATTCATGCATGCTGTTCTCACATAAATCCACCAGAGGCAGCTGACTGACCAACTAACCAACATAAACAAGAAAAGGAATGGCGTCATACCACCCCAGTGTTTCCTCTAGGATTTTTTCCAGCTGTGGCGGCAGGCCTTTTTTTTACACAGATCTACCAACTACCTGTGGCGTTTTTTCAATGACAAATGTCGTGAGTGCAGTTTTAGAAGTCGGGATCGCATTTATGTAATAGCCTACAAGCATGCGAATCTCTGTGCTTGCTGATTTCCTCTGCTCGTGCACAAAACTTCTTGCAACCTTCTTGCACGCCCCCTCAAATAGAAGCCGATTCAAGAGCGCGCAGATCTTCTTGTGCGCTCTCAAACAAACGCTGCTGAGTACGATTTAGTGCGTTTATGTAACGAGTATGTCTCCAGCATTTATTTGATTTGCTAGGAATATTTATGAATGTCTCTAATAGACCTACAGAGTTGCATTAATGCATCCTGAAGTAAAGTGAAACGGCTATACAGCGTGTTTGCTGGCCTCACGCATCACGCACCTGTCAGCAAGTCAGTCAGTCAGTCATCCAGTCAGTCAGCACGTCATTTTAAAAAGTAAACAAATGATGCACAACACTACTATGGACACAGAAAAGTTTGCGCTATTATAATTCACTTACCCTTTAATACGTTTCGGTGCGATTATTACCCGCTATTAAAAAATAAAATATTTTGAATGAGAAGCTGTAATGTAGCCGTGGCGAGATGAATTTTGGCATGGCGCCCCGCCATGGAAGAATGAATGTAGTGGAAACCATGCACCCCATAGCGTTCATTTTAAAGACAAAATGCAGCCATATATAGCTCTGTCTACACAATTCACGATCTCCAGAAATGTATATAGGGTTATGTTTTCATAATGAGCCTATGTTACAACCATGTGTATGCGATCCACTTTAAATGCATTGTTTCACATTATCGAAAGCACATTCAGCCAAAACTAATTTGAATAAGGGTACGTTTGTTATATTCGTCATGAAATTGACAATTTATTAATGCCTTTAAATTCTAATAATTATGAGAATTAAATAATAAGAAAAAAAAGTAATTCATGTCATTCATTTTTCCTTTTAATTATGAAAATTTCCCCTGCAAAATGCAGGAAAGACTAGTTGAGCACTGAGCAGGCAAAAAAACAGCCACAGACGTTTGTTACTAACAGGTAGAGCCTGGTGACTGCATTTAATTAAGTGGGAAAGGAATCAAATGTCAGTAAAAACATGATATAGAAAAAAAAAGTTTAGAAACATTTAAAATGACAAATAAAACCGGATATTTCATGACTTGGACAACAAATCTTTTAAATTCTCTTACTCTCAATGTCTGGAATAATAGACCCTTTGATTTAAAATCCCATGGTATTGCAGAAATTGTATGACCTGCGAACCCTGAACACGGCACAGTGTAAAACAGGGTAAAACATTAACTAAAAGTTATCACCATACTTCTGATTATATTAAAAATTGTATATGTCATAAAATGTCAAGAATTAAATATCCTAATGGGATAATATTTCATTAAACATGCACTAATTTGCATACAGAAACATTTAAACATTGGATGAGGTCAGGTTTAAAATTCCTTCTTGATTTTTTTTACATATTAGAGTTAAAGGTTTTTACAGAGAAGATTTTGGGAATCTCTTGTTATTAAGAATAAACAATTCCCTCTGTAAACAACCTTCAAAATGTCAGAGATGAATAAAACTGCAGTTTGGTGTATGTATAAAGCTGCTAAGTGGAAATGTATAGTTTATTAGTGCAAGAGAAAAATCAGAGTTTGAGTAAATAGTCCATTAACATATTGTAATTGAAATTTATACATAAAAAGTTGTATTAGTTAATGCATGTACTAACATGAACAAACAGTTCATGTAATACATTTATTACAGTTTTTCTTCATGTTTGTTAGCATTAGTTAATTGTTGACTGTTCATGTTAACTCACAGTGCATTATGACCAAGCTTAACAAACATGAATTTGGATTTTAATAATGCAATAGTAAATGTTGAACTATGATTAATAAATGCTGTACAAGTATTGTTCATACTTAGTGAATGTTAGTATTTGAACTAATGAAACTATAAAATGTGACCTAAATGAATCATACTCTCATGTAACACTTAAAAGTGCATGCTAGAAATTTTCTTTATGTTACACTGATTAAACACTTTATAAAACAGCCCAAAACCCCGGACATCTCATTTTTAATCTCATCTCATGGTTAGGAATAAGAAAGTTTGACAGGAATGTTGAACCAGCTTGCATCCTGATATTCATTAACTATAGAGTTAGTTAACCAAACAACATTGCAGTAAAACATTACACATTAAAATAATGTCCACAGAGGTACATATACAGAGTCTTTTTTTTTTAATAAAAACTAATAAAAAGATCAAATAAAAATATCTAGACTTTTTAAAAAGACTAATAAAATATAATTAAATATCCAAATAAAAACTACAATAGTACCTCCAGCAGGCTTGATTAAAGCAGTAAATCAAATCATGATTTTTTTAAATGTAAAGTTTGATTAGATATTTATTTAGAACTAAGCATGCCTGAAATGATTCCTCGATTATTCATTCTAGTTCCGCATTTCTCCCTAGCTGTCCACACAGTCCCTGAATTCAACCAATCATAATCATTCACCACCGATCAAACTTTCCATTTCGTTTGATTCTGATGTCAATGTCAGTTTTTGCCTAAACAAATGATACAATAAATTATGCAAATAAATTCAGTTTATTAGTGTAATCTCCACCCGGCAGATTTTGTGGACATACATATAATATCAGAGTTCTGTAGCAGAACTTTTCGCACACCACTAGATCTTAAATCCTAAAATCTGAATTAAAGGGGATCTACAATATTATGCAATTTTTTACAAGATGTAAAATAAGTCTCTGATGTCACTAGAGTGTGTACGGTATGTGAAGTTTCAGCTCAAAATACCACACAAATTACTTTTCATAACACTTTTTTTTTTCATAACTGCCCCTTTTAGGCTTTGATCCTAATTGTGCTGTTTTGATGACTGTTGCTTTAAATTCGAATGAGATTGTGTGATCTTTATAAAAGGGGCGGGGCCACAAACCATGTGCGTCAGCATAGTGGCAGATTTAAAAAAGGACTAACATTATCTCAGTAGAAAGCTGAAAATCTTAAATTTCAGGGTGCTTTCACACCTTTACATCAATTGTTTTGTTCAGAAACAGTTTAAAATCGTTACAATGTTTGTTCTTATTGCGGTTCGCTTTCACACGGCAAAGTTTCTAAACAAACCAAAATAGTTAAAACAGGTCACGTGCGAGTAAACTCTCCTCACATTGGTCAGAATTTCACGGTTTATTTTTCAGAGTCCCTCAGAGTCCGCTCAGCTGTCATATGTGGTTATTTTACATATATATATATATATATATATATATATATATATATATATATATATATATATATATATATATATATATATATATATATATATATATTTACATTTACATTTAGTCATTTAGCAGACGCTTTTATCCAAAGCGACTTACAAATGAGGACAAGGAAGCAATTTACACCACTAAGAGCAACAATGAATAAGTACTAAAGGCAAGTTTCAGGTCTGTAAAGTCTAAGAAGGGAAGTGTTAGTAATTTTTTTTTTTTTTTTTTTTTTTTTTTTGTACAGTTAGTGTGATATTCAAATAGGCAATTGCAGATTAGGAAGTGAAGTGGAGACTAAATAGTTGAGTTTTTAGTCGTTTCTTGAAAATAGCGAGTGACTCTGCTGTTCTGATGCAGTTAGGGAGTTCATTCCACCAACTGGGCAGATTGAGCGTGAGCGTTCGCGAAAGTGATTTTTTTCCTCTTTGGGATGGAACCACGAGGCGACGTTCATTCACAGAACGCAAGTTTCTGGAGGGCACATAGATCTGCAGAAGTGAGTGCAGATAAGAAGGTGCTAGGCCAGAAGTCACTTTGTAGGCAAACATCAGAGTTTTGAATTTGATGCGAGCAGCAACTGGCAGCCAGTGCAAACGGACTAGCAGCGGAGTGACATGTGCTCGTTTAGGTTCATTGAAGACAACTCGTGCTGCTGCATTCTGGAGCAGTTGAAGAGGCTTGATAGAGTTAGCTGGAAGCCCAGCTAGTAGAGAGTTGCAGTAATCCAGTTTGGAGAGAACAAGAGCTTGAACAAGGAGTTGAGCTGCATGTTCAGATAAGAAGGGTCGGATCTTTCTGATGTTATAGAGTGCAAATCTGCACGATCGAGCAGTTCTAGAAATGTGGTCAGAGAAGTTTAGTTGGTCATCAATCGTTACTCCAAGGCTTTTCACCATTTTGGATGCAGTAATGGTTGCCCCATCCATCTGGATTGAAAAGTTATGGTGTAGAGTCGGGTTGGCAGAAACTACAAGCATTTCCGTTTTTGCGAGGTTCAGCTGAAGATGATGATCTTTCATCCAGTGTGAAATATCCAACAGGCAGGCTGAGATACGAGCTGGAACCGAGGGATCATCAGGATGAAAAGAGAGGTATAGCTGGGTATCATCAGCATAGCAGTGGTAGGAGAATCCATGTCTCTGGATGACTGGTCCTAGAGATGATGTGTAGATGGAGAAGAGAAGTGGCCCAAGAACAGAGCCTTGAGGTACCCCAGTGTTTAGATGCTGTATGGTTGGACACCTCTCCCCTCCAAGACACCCTGAATGACCTGTCAGAGAGGTAAGATCTGAACCATTGTATAACAGTGCCCGCAACGCCCAGTGACTCAAGCGTAGATAGCAGGATCTGGTGGTTGACAGTGTCAAAAGCAGCTGACAAGTCCAGCAAAATGAGGACTGATGATTTAGAGTCTGCTTTAGCCAGTCTGAGATCCTCCACGACCGAGAGCAGGGCAGTCTCAGTTGAGTGGCCTTTCTTAAAGCCAGATTGCTTGTTGTCCATGAGATTGGTTTGAGTAAGAAAGTCCAGGACTTGATTGAACACTACTTTCTCCAGAATCTTGGCCATGAATGGAAGCAGGGATACTGGTCTGTAGTTTTCAAGTAGCGTATGGTCCAGGTTGGGTTTCTTTAGCAGTGGGGTTACCCTAGCCTGCTTAAATGTAGTGGGGAATAAACCAGAGTCAAGAGATGTGTTAATTATGTGAGTCAGTGTTGGTATGACTGCAGGAGAGATGGCTTGCAAGAGATGAGAGGGAATGGGATCGAGTGGACAGGTGGTTGCATGGCTAGATAGCACAAGTTTGGACACCTCAGACTCAGAGAGCTGAGAAAAAGAGGTGAGTGTGTGTGGTGTTGGTGTTGTATCTTGCGTGTTTGTTGTAGGTGCAGCAAATTGAGCACTGATTTTTGCAGTTTTGGTGCAGAAGAATGTAGCAAAGTCATCAGTAGTAAGTGTGGAGGATGCGGGTGGAGGAGGAGGATAGAGGAGGGAGGAAAATGTTTTAAAAAGTAGGCGAGGATTAGTGGCATTGTTGATTTTCAGACGGTAATACGTCTGCTTTGCAGAAGTAACCTCAGCTGAGAAAGAGGACAGAAGAGTTTGGTATGTTAAGAGATGTGCAGGATTTTTAGTTTTCCGCCAAATTCTCTCCGCAGCCCGAAGTTTTGAGCGATGCTCACGGAGAGCATCCGAGAGCCAGGGTGCAGGAGGACTGGCACGGGCTGGCCTGGATGCAAGAGGACATAATCGGTCTAGACATGATGCTAGTGTGGAGCAGAGTGTATTAGTGGCACTGTTCGAATCAAGTGCAGTGAGTTTGCGAGATGGAGGAAGAGAGTCTGAAACAATGGTGGATAGTCTATTGGGTGAGAGAGATCGTAGGTTTCTGCGAAAGGTAACCAGTGTAGGAGTGTGTGGCGGCTCAGGAGTAATGTGGATGTTGAGAGACAGAAGGAAATGATCAGATATTTGTAGTGGAGTTACTATTGTTTGATCAGTGAAGCAGTGTCGTGTGTAAATAAGGTCTAGCTGATTACCTGATTTGTGGGTAGCAGAAGTAGGTGCTCTTTTTAGGTCAAAAGAGGCAAGCAAAGTCTGAAAGTCTGCAGCTTGCGGTTTGTCAACGTAAATGTTGAAGTCACCTAGCACCAATAAGGGAGTGGCAAAATTAGAAAAAGATGAGAGAAGAACATCCAGTTCATCTAGGAAGTGACCTAATTTACCTGGTGGGCGGTAGATGACAACCACATTTATGTAGAAGGGGTGGATAATGGTGACTGCATGGAATTCAAAGGAGCTGATTGTTGGCAGGGACGGTATCAGAGTAAATTTCCATTCTTTGGAAATTAGTAGTCCAGTCCCACCCCCTCTCCCTGTCTGACGAGGAGTGTGGGAAAAAGAAATTAGCAGAAAGAGTAGCATGTGTAGCAGTGTCATCCGGCCTCAACCAGGTCTCAGTTAGAGCCATGAGATTATAGTCAGAATATGTAGCTATGGAGGTAATAAAATCAGCCTTGTTAACAGCTGATGGACAATTCCAGAGGCCCACGGAGAGAGAGAGATATATATATATATATTTTTTTTTTTCTCTGGGTTTTCACCTTTATTGTACAGAACAGTAGAAAGTATTGACAGGAAAGCATGGGGAGCAGAGAGAGGGGAAGGATCGACATATAGGACCACGAGGCGGGAATCAAACTTGGGTCGCCGTGAGCAACGGAGTGCATGTGTCGACACACTAACCACTACACCACTGGCGCTGACATCCGGCTATTTTAATTTATGATGATGAGCAATACGACATTATAAGCAAAAAGGTGCGCTTTAATTTTAACACCCACAGACATTGTCAATAGAGAGGTAAGGCTTTCTCATACTCATTTCAGGGTTGTAAAAATTAATCTATTGAATCAATCAATCTATTAAAAAACGTAAGCCAGAATTATGTATTATAGGCCTAAATTATAGAGAGAAATAGTAGATGAACCGAGACTGCAGTCAGATCATGAAGCAGATCAATGTTGATCTTTCTTTCGAGGTGTCAGTGCACAAATGAACAAAGCATTAGGCCTAATACAAAATATTATAAGATAAAATATGGAAAAAGTTCAGATCGTAATTTCAGTCAATTTTCCTAACAGATAAACAGCTCTCGTTAATATTTCATCATGCTTTCACTTTCGTATTCGACATAAAACGCACATCTACCGGTAGGAATGACATCCGCCATATTCATAATTCTCTCTTAATAGTTGTATAAATGGCTATTACATATCCATAATACACTGTGATATAGCCTGGTTTGTTAGTTTGGTGGATCATATTGCTTTCTCAATACAATAGATCCGCTCCAGAGTTCGTTTCAATCGAATCCAGACCACCTCATTCAGGCCGATTAATTTGGTGCGAATCGGATTGCGGGTTTTACATATGCCAAACGAACAGTGCTAACTGGGCAAACGAGAGAGGTTCCAAAACAAACGTCTAGGTGTGAAAGCACCCTCAGAAGAAGGCAGTCTATGGAAACTAGTGTTCATTTGCATCCTAAAACTCCACTTAATGTCTTTTAGCTGCTGACATTATCTTCAGCAGGTATTGTGTGAAACCGCTGATAGAAGATGGCTGCTTCTCACTCAGGGCTGTTTATGCTAATCAGGGAGAGATAGTCACGAGTGGGCGGGGCTTTTTTTCCCTCTGATGACATGTACAAAGTGAGAATCTCAATTAAAGAGTCTCTGCAGATTGTTTTTATCAAGTGTGATTATATAAAATAAAATTAATTAATTTTAACCATGAAAGGCTGGCTATATTCACACTCTGTTGCCTGTGTTTAAACACTTTATAAAAGTGATTTTTGAATAGGTCCCTATAAACCATATATTTATTCTGAAAAAAGCAGCATTATGATTAATAATAATACGTTTTTTGTTGAGTCATTGAATGGCTGAGCCATAAAGCAGGAAGCAGTTATACTTTCAGTTTTGGACACAGACGTTTCTTTCTTCCTTTTCAGCTTTCAACCTCAAATGCACAGCCGAAAGTTTCTCCTGCACTGAACGAATCAAATGTTCCTGGAGATCGGATGCATTTACTGCGTTCAGACTACGCAATTCAAGGTATCGAACGCACAAGCACACCCACACAAACCAGAAAATGATGATATGGGTGACTCAATCGAGATTGTTTCATACATTTATTTAGGGATAATGGAAAATGGGTGTCAGAGTCTGTGGACGGGGTATTTTATCTCCCACATTCAACCGATTCCTATTCTGAGGAGTCTGAGCGACTGCAAATAACAGGAGAAGCTCTTTCTGCGTGCTGCTATATGAAAACTGACTACAGCTTCTTCCTGAGAGACATCGGTGAGTTCAGATCGTGTGTTGATGGTTGAATACTGATTAACTCAGTTGGAGGTTTAAAGAAATCAGGCTCATTTCACAGATGAATATTGAGCAAGTGTTTGGACAGAGTTGAAGTAATCAAAGTTGAAGTAAAATGACAACAACAGATTATTTTGTTTTACTTTAGAGTGCTCAGCATAATTGAGTACAGCCCATTTTAAAAATGAATATTTGTATCCATTTCTCAGTGAATGCAATGTATATTGGTGCATTTAAACAAAGCAGATTTATTAAACAGATATATTTACTAAAATTATATTTTAGTCACCAAACATATTTAGAAACTAAAAAATAATACAATTAAATTTAAGCAAAATATTGCAAAAATAAATTACAGCCCACAAAATGTCAACTAAATTTTTCTTTTTTTTTTTGTTTGTTTGTATTTAATATTTTTCTATATCATATAAATTTTGCTGTACTAGTTTTTGGAACGTTTTTGTAAGTTATTTTGTTAGATGAGCTCCAGATTTGGCTTCAGTCCTGACTAATCTAAGTACTTAAGTACTTTTTAACTATGTTTGATTGATTGTATAATTCTTGTATTGTTTTTTTTAGGTTGTTCAGGGACAACAGATGAAAAATAGCCTTCGGGCTAATTCTGGTGCATTGGCAGAAATACTAATTAAAATACACTGTCCCTGCCAAATAAACAAATAAATAATAAAATAAATAATGTAAATGCACAAATATAATATTGTATGGCTTCCTATTAAAATTATGAATTAAAAAGATAGATTTGTGAAGAGTGTATTTATATATGCTGAGCATTGTAAACATTTTTTATTTTAATAGACAATTTTAGTTTATTAATAGTTTAAATTATTATAATTTTTAAAATATTTTCCATTGTTATTTTTGTTAAAAAGTTTAATAAAGGTTTCATTTTAAAATGTCTATATAGTTTATACTTATTTTTAATTTGGTTTACTTTTTACCGATTTGTTTAATTTTAAGTAATATTAACCCATAATAACTAATAATTTAACACAAACAATTGTCTTTGAGGAAAAAGTAAAAATTCTATATATTTATATACTTATATGGAGTTTTTTTTTTATTTTCCAATGAAGTTAGTATACATTTCATTTTTAAAAAATAAATAAATACTAATTTACTTACTAATATACTATAATTATATTATTCATTTATTTATTCATTCATCTTCTTTTCGACTTAGTCCCTTTATTAATCTGGGGTCGCCACAGCGGAATGAACTGCTAACTTATCCAGCATATGTTTTACGCAGTGGATGCCTTTCCAACTGCAACCCATCTCTGGGAAACATCCATACACGGCCAAATTAGCTAACCCAATTCACCTATACCACATGTTTTTGGACTTATGGGGCAAACCGGAGCACCCGGAGAAAACCCATGCAAACATGGGGAGAACATGCAAACTCCAAATACAAATGCCAACTGATCCAGCCAGGGCTCGAACCAGTGACCTTCTTGCTGTGAGGCGATTGTGCTTCCCACTGCGCCACCATGCTATAGACCAGTGGTCACCAAACTTGTTCCTGGAGGGCCGGTGTCCTGCAGATTTTAGCTCCAACCCTAATCAAACACACCTTATCAAGCTAATCAAGGTCTTACTAGGTACACTTGAAGGTGTTTTGAAGCAAGTTGGAGCTAAACCCTGCAGGGACACTGGCCCTCCAGGACCGAGATTGGTGACCCCTGCTATAGACCATTTTGAGGGATGTAAACAAAAACAAGGGTCCCAACATATTTCCTGTTTTACATTTTTAATCTCTATAGCTTCCGAGAATCCAAAAAAAGCCACATACTGATAAGTAATGTTATGATAGCTGTTCAAACGTTGTGGTTGAATTGCCTATTACAGTTAATCAATAGTTGGGACAATGACATGACCACATTGAAATGGTCTATAATTATATTATACTATAATTAAAATGATGCCTTTTTTACAAGATGTAAAATAAGTTTCTTATGTCCCTAGAGTGTGTATGAGAAGTTTCAGCTAAAAATATTCAACATCCAACAATTAACTCTCTGAAACTGCCCTTGTTAGGCTTTGATTGTAATTGTGCCGTTTTTGTGACTGTAGCTTTAAATTCAAATTAGATTGTGCTCTTTTCAAAAGGGGCGGAGCTGCAAATGCCTATGCTTCAGCATAGTGGCAGATTCAAAACAGGAATTATCTCATTAAAATACTGAAAATGTCAAAAAAAGTGTCTCATAACAAGGTAGTCTATGGATACTACAGTATTAATTTGTGCATCCCAAAACTCAACATTCATTTTGCCTCCTAGTCACTGACATTTTTGTTAGCAGGAATTGTGCGAAAACTCTAATGTAACTACTAACTTCTCAATCGGGTCTGTTTATGCTAATGAGGCAGAGATCATCACTAATGGGCGGGGCTTTCCCTCTGTGATGACACGTATAAAGGAAGTATGTCAATCAAAGTGTTTTTGCAGACTGTTTTATTCAAGTATGATTATAAAAAATAGAATTAATCAATTTTTACCATTAGATGCTGGTTATATTCACAGACTGTTGCCACACAACTATATTTAAACCCCTTATAAAAGTGCATTTTGCATAATAGGTCCCCTTGAAATAATCATACACCCTAGTTGGCTAAAAAGTAAACACTGGTCTGCCTCACGTCATCACTGACTGAATGTTATTTGTCGTTTTTTCCTAGTTAAGCCAGCCAATCCAAACATTTCCATCTGCAGAGTAAAGGATGAGGGCAGTGATGAGCAGATAACCGAGGTGGAGGTGAAGCCTCCATCCTCTTGGCCACAGCCGCAGAGTTTCTTTCCTCTGACGCACCAGATTCAGTATGAGAATCGAGATGATGGCATGGTACAACATAATCTCCAGCACACAAACACACATCCTGACTAACATTGATAGTCCTTCTGCATTTCTTTGAGGATTTGTTTAGTAAGGAAAAAGACTAATCATGTGCATTAAATTACATATATGAAGAGTTTAGATGCAAAAACCTCTAAAAGCTATGTGATGTTTTCTTCCAAAGTACAGTATGCTGTAGGCTGAGTAATTTTAATTTTATAGTGACAAATAGGTTCTTTTTATTGCTTTTTCAAGTGAAATAACTGAACCTAAACATAGGAGGCAGACAAAAATGCATTTCAGACGGCGTTTAGAGGTTTTTGCATCTGAACTCTTTATATACACAAAATCCAGTTTCTTAAGACGCTCTAAAATATGTGTTAAATGTGTTTAAATGTTATCATATGTTAAAGACAATTATTAGAAGCTCTATAAAATTTTAATTCTCAAATATTTGAAACTTGAGGACTTTGTTTTTTCTTTAATAGTGAATTATCCTTAGTAAGAACTGAATTTACTCGCTTTTAATTCTCCACAGCTGAAAACTAAAGAATGGGAGAAAGACTCAAAGGTCACAGTTAAGGGCTTGATCAGAAAGCTGCGTGCCCGCTGCAGAGACCCACTGCTCGTCTCCCAGTGGAGTGAATGGACCCCCTGGACAAATGTAAACTAGTGTTTACACATTATTTATTTATTTATTGACTTATTTATTTATTTATTTGATTGTTTATTTATTTGATTGTTTATTTATACCTCCCTGTCTTTATTTACAGTTGAAGTCAAAATTTTATAGCCCTTCTGTGGAATTGTAATTCTTTTTAAATATTTCCCAAGTGATGTTTAACAGAGAATTTTCTTTTTCAACATATTTTAAAAGATAATATTTAATAACAAATGTCTATTTTTTCAACTTATTTTACAAGTGCAGTTTAAAGGTTTAACTTGGTAATTATGCTAATTAGACAGGTTAGTAATTTGGATAAAAATATATTTCTTAATGTCTGCATGAACCAGAAGCTACGACATTTTTCTTTTCGTATTGTGATGCAGCTCCTGTAGAGAAACGGAATATCAAATGAGAAAACAGTGGCGTAGCTTGTTTTTTCTACTGCGAGCTGATTGGATTCAGGCAATTCATTCAGAAAGATCGGGAAAAGGGTTTAGGGAGAGTTATTACAACCTAGCATACATCTCCTCCTCATCATTTCTGTTTGTTATCAAAACTGACTGTTGGTTGGAGTGTGCTTAAAGGTGCAGAATTTAAGTTTGACACCCAGTGGTTGAACTAGGTATTGCATGCCTGGTTTAAAACACACGCCAGCACAGGTTGCCAGACTGATGAAATCAACAGTAGTGTGACTAACTAATCGAGCCTAAAGGCTGATTTAGTCATGTTCTAACTGAAAGCAACGGCAGGCGATCGAAGGAATTTTTTTAAATGTTAAAAGTAGTTTTTAAATGCTAATAATGTGAGTTTGAATGCCATTTTGCATGACATTTATTGCCATATAATGAAAGCAGCAGCAGATAGTTCAGCTCAGATCTGGAAAATAAAATAAGCCATTTGAAATTGAACTTTAGAACTGTGACACATATCAGTGATTCAGCATCTACATTTAATTATGTTTTAAATGTATTAATTAGATTATAAACCTTACCATTTCATTGGGGTGCAGTTAGTGCACTATTCTGTGCTTCTGAATGGCTGTATTTAAATTTCTGTCGTGTTTCGTCTGGTGCAAACAGCCAAATTGCTGTGGAACTCTGAATCCGTATCTCATTACGGAGTCTGCTACTGTCCAACAGAGATTGCATTGGAGTCATGAACGCATGCTTCGAGAGCCTTCCTGACTGAATGAAATACGCTGTTTTTTAACAAGGCAACCCGGCGTGCTGAAATATCATTAGCTAAACTGGCATTGGGCAGGTTAAATGAACAAAACAAAAACAGTTGTTCCGGCACGTAACGCACATTTTCAAAGCCGAATATCTGACTTCAGCATTGCTTTTCAGATAAACAAGATTGTTCACTTAGCATGTTTCTTAAATATCTGCAAACATATTATGGTATTTTTATGCTTTAGAAGAGTCAAAAACGTACACACAGCACCTTTAAGTATGTTAGCCATGCCCAATACCTCAGACAGAACTAATCTTAGAACTGAACTGAAAACAGCAAGTGCATCTTTAGAGTTCATAAAATGAACTTTATTTCAGTTTTCGAAGAAATTTTTTACAGCTAAATTAAAACAATTATTCAAACATTATAGGAAATACTGTTAAACATCACCTGGGAAATATTTGAAAAACAATACAAATTTCACAAGAGGGCTAATACTTTCACATCAACTCTCCTTATTTATTCTTTGCATATGTGTTATGCTTAAATGATGGTGATGATGTTATTGGTTATGTATGATGAATCAAGCCTTTGTCCTATTAAAAACCTTTGCTCTACTTTTCTGGCTCTTGTTTTGTTCAGTTTATGCAATATGAGTTTCAGTCATGCTTCGGCTTGGCTGTGATTCACTGGCCTTGAGTATCAGGAATTATTATGAAATGCGGTTTCTGCTTGATATGCACTACAATTTAAAAGTTTGGGGGTGTCAGATTGTTTATATATATATCTATTTATATATATATAAAATCGTCTTTTAAATCTTAATTTTTGCTTGATACAAAACATAGTAAAAAGTGATGTTGTAAATATTAAGAAATGCTAAAACAATCATTTTAAGATAATCAAGATATTTTTAAGATCTTTACATTTTATTCTAAATTAAAATCCTAAATTCCCTAAATTAAAATGGTAAATCCTGTAATGGGACAGTGTTATTCACTGAGCTGTTCACTGCAGTACTGACCCTAAACTTTGAAAAGGTTGTGAATATACGAGAGATGGATTTGAGAGTGTGTGTTTACTAGAGCATACACATGACTCTTTTGTTCTTCGTGTAGGTGTCAGACAGAGCCAATGGAAACAATGGCAGATTGGACATGAAAAAAGGGAAAAAGATGAGAAACCGTCAGAAAAAACATCAGAGAAACCGTCAGAAAAATCATCAGAGAAACCATCAGAAAAATCATCAAAATAAGAAAAAACATCAGAATAATCAGCAGAAACATCTAAACTGGGCAAAAATGTAAATTGTTAATATGTACTATATAAAATGAAGATTGTAATTAGTGACAATGAATTTGCGTATAAGCTATATTAAATTGTTGTTTTTATTAAATTGCTGCAATGTTGAGCATTTTTAAACAGCAGAGGGCAGCAGTGGATAAAGTTAGCTGGATTTGTGGAATTGTTACCTTTGTAAAATATAATAAAACCTTGAATTGATTGGTATAATCATTGTTCTTTTTAACTGCAATCCTTTACTTGTGTGTCCTCCTGGTTTTCTTTGTGCTCCTCTTGCTGTAGTTGAAGGAGGCTTTGACTCTGATTGGCTGGATGAGCGGTGGAGAACAGCCAATGATTATTGTCCTGCTCTGCCTTATGAGAGTCCAGGAAAGTGTGAGCGGTGAGTTCATACTCTTTACCGAACTGAGACCTAAACACACAAACCAATCAAATAAATAAACACAAAATGACCATCAAACAGTTCTTAAGCTTATGCTACTGTTTTTCCCTTATTTTAATATCTCTCTCTTTGTTTAGTATAATAAAAATATGGAAAATATTAAGTGACCACTAAAAAAATTATCAACCAATGACTACAATAAATTGTAGTTTTTTTTAACATTCATTGATGAATAAAATTTAAATAAAACTGTTTATCTGTATTATACAAATCTTTTGCAACAGTAATACATTAGTTTTTCTAAAAGGAAAAAATGTTTTAAAATATACAAAAATTATACATATATTTACACCAAAAGGCCACTTTATTAGGTACACCTATCCAACTGCTCATTAACACAAATCTAATCAGCCAATCATATAGCAGCAACTTAATGCATTTATGCATGTAGACATGTTCAAGATGATCTGCTGCAGTTTAAACCGAACATCAGAATGGAAAAGAAAGGTGATTTAAGTGACTTTGAATGTGGAATGGTTGTTGGTGCCAGACGGGTTGGTCTGAGTATTTCAGAAACTGCTGATCTACTGGGATTTTCACGCACAACTATGACTAGGGTTTACAGAGAATGGTCTGAAAAAGAGAAAATATCCAGTGAGTGCAAATGCATTGTTGATGTCAGAGGTCAGAGGAGAATGGCCAGACTGGTTCCAGCTGAAAGAAAGGTAACAGTAACTCAAATAGCCACTCTTTACAACCGAGGTCTGCAGAAGAGCATCTCTGAACACACAACACGTCCAACCTTGGCGGATGGGCTACAGTAGCAAAAGACCACACTGGGTGCCACTCCTGTCAGCTAAGAAGAGGAAACTGAGGCTAAAAATTCGCACAGGCTCACCAAAATTGTACAATACAAGATTAGAAAAGCGTTGTCTGCTCTAATGGGTCTCGATTTCTGCTGCAACATTCGAAAGGTTTTCGGATGATATTAGATTCAACAAGGTAGTGGAATATTTCCAGTACCTTGTTGAATCTATGCCACGAAGGATTAAAGCAGAACTGAAGACAAAAGGGGGTCCAACCCGGTACTTTTAAGGTGTACCTAAAAATCTGGCCAGTGTATTAACATTCATTTATTTATTGTAAATAAATCCTTGCAAAAAGGATGCATTAAATTCATAGTAAAATAATTTGTATATATTTTTTTATTATTCATTCAATACTAAATAAAAATATTGTATGTCTATATTAAACATATGAATTTTACTTTCATTATTCTATATGAAGTACTTGTATTTTGAATGTATTTAGCACATGAAGTACTTGGAGTATTTATAATATTTATCTGCTCCCTGCTCGCATGCATTAAAACGTATAGGTACAAAATGAAATACACCATATTACCATAGGATGTGATTGCTCAGTGCAGCCAGACATTGATTGGTCTTACAGTGGGAAATCAAAACCTTGTTGTTCACCTGCCAAAACAAAGCATTCACTCTACATTATTAAACTGCCAATAGCAATAAAGTACATTTGAAAAACATAAAGATATACCTGAACCGGGTATCCCTCATTCTCAAGCCTATCTTGTGGGTCGAAATAGAGCACCTTCCACCAGCACAGGAAATCAAACTCCTCTACTAAACTCAGCTCCTGCAGTCGAGACTTCTTAGCACACTTCTGAAATGACTTGTGATCACTGGCAAGAAACAGCTGTGTGGAATTGAAAATCATTTAAAGTAGGAAAAAAATTACAATGGATGTCAATGGGTGCCAACTACCAACATTCTTCAAAATATCTTCTTTTGTGTTCAACAGAAGAAACTGAAAACTGATGACTACATTTTGAAGTGCATAAATCATTAATATTTTTAAAAATTGTTTAAATACAGAAACACATTATATTTCAGCAACTTTATTTAAAGTTTGTCTCAAATAACTTGAGTTTCAGTTTCTACAAGCCCCTTATTCTGAAAATGCACAATCTGATTGGCCAGGTGACCCAATGTACTATGACTGGCTAATTATCTGAAGTGTGTGTCGGATTTAACACCCCCTACCATAATCAAAACAAACCATGTGACACCAATTCAATTCATTTAAAGTAAGAAAAAAATTACTTTGGAAGTCAATGGGTGCCAACTACCAACATTCTTCAAAATATCTTCTTTTGTGTTCAACAGAAATAAAACAAAGCAATCAAGACAAACTATACATAATTTGAAAGCTTAACATTTCAAGTTTCCATAAATGATATATCTATCTATAATTAAGTAAAGGGAGAGAAACGGATAATTTTCATTTTAGGTGAAATATACTTTTACGTTTTTTACTTTTTATAAATTTAAAAAGGATGAACTGTACTTAAACATGCATAGTGTAAAACATGCAAAAGTATTTTGTTGTTTACCTCTCCAGCAAAGCCTCCAGTGGTTTTCAGGGCAAAACTTTGATCATATCTGACCACTTCTCCATCTGAGCTCCCATCAACACTGAAACACAGAAATGAAAAATATAGATATCAGCATCAGCATCCATAGACAAGTAAATGCAGATGCCACATGAAACTGCTCCAGATATGTAGATGTGTCTGCCATGTAAGAGTTATTGTGTTGAAACTTACAGTAAAAAAAACAACAACTAAATTTTGTGCTTTTATTTTTATAAAGTCAATATTACACTTTAAAAAAAATGACAGTAACATTTTAATGGCGAGTGAGCTAGCACCATCTTGTTGTATTTAATCAATTTCCGAAAGTCATTGCTGACATTTATCACATGTATACATAGATATACATACATTTTAGCTATGCTCTGATCGATCGGCCAGAATTCAGTATCGGCCAATAATCACATTTAATGACTCAACTGGTACTCGCCAATCTGGCCGATCGCAAGTGTTTGTTTACAAGCAGAGGAAGATGCACGTGCGCACCTGGGTTATACAGATAGCAGCTACAACATGCAAGAA